ATTGCTGAGGCTGGCTTTGAACTTGCCATCCTCCTGCCTCAGCCTCCCAAGCTGCTGGGATTACAGGTGTGCGCCACCGCACCCGGCTCCACACATATTCTTACCACTTGAATTTTGACACAGGTGCCAAGGAAATTCAATTGGGATTGGAAAGAAAATTCTTTTCAACAAATGGACTAAATCAACTGGATATCCATTGGTTCCCTACCGCACACCATACAAAAAGTTTAACTCTTAACATAACAGCTTCTAGAAGAAAATACAGAGGAATGTGTTAGTGATATTGGATTAGGGAAAGATTTCTTAGGTTGAATGTTGGGTGTAGTCAGTGGTAGAAAAATTGCCTAGCAGGCTCAAGATCTGGGATTCCATCCGCAGGACACACACACACAACACACACACACACACACACACACACTTAATTTAAACACAAAAAACCATTCACTTAACAAAAAAAAAAAACTTTGCACTACTCTGATTAAGCTGACAAGTGCATTATAAAACAACAATAGTAACAATAAAAACCAAAGTGATAGACCAACTTGCTCTATGAATATTGTTGCAAAAACCTCAACAAAATGCTAGCAAATCAAATTCAGCAGCACATCAGAAACTTCAAACAGAGCTGCGGATGTGGCTTAGTGGTGAGGTGCTTACCTAGCACAATCAAGGCCCTGGGTTCCATTCCAGGTACTGCAAAAACAAAACAAATGAGGATTGTACAATGTGACCAAGTAGCAGTTATTGTTGGAATGCAAGAATGACTCAACCTATGATACTCTGTCAAAGAAGTGTACAGATTAACAGAATGAATGGGGACACATGACCATCTCAACTAATGTAGAGAAAAACATTAGACAAAACTCAGCACGAATTCCTGATTAAAAAAACACTCACCAAACTGGAAATAGAAAGAAACTACTGAGCCAAGTGTAGTGGCTCACACCTGTAATCTCAGCTGAGCCAGGACAATTGCAAGTTCAAAGCCAGCCTCAGCAAGTTAGCGAGGCCCTAAGCAACTTAGTGAGACCCTGTCTCAAAATAAAAAGCTTAGTGATTAAGAGCCTCTGAGTTCAAACATTGGTGGAAAAAAAAATCTAGCCAAAGGAATTAGCATGAAAAAGAAATAAAAGACATCTAAATTGGAAAGAAAGAAATAAAATTGTTTTCAGGAAACATGAATTTTTTGTAAGTAATGGGAATGAAACCTAGGGACTCATACATTCTAGGCAAGTGTTCTACCACTGAGCCACATCCTGAGCCTTGATGACATGTTTTCCTTAAGATTCTACCAAGGGGTGGCTGGGGATGTGGCTCAAGCGGTAGCACGCTCGCCTGGCATGTGTGCGGCCTGGGTTCGATCCTCAGCACCACATAAATATAAATAAATAAAATAAAGATATTGTGTGACATTTGACCTGAACTGAGTGAGCCTTGGCCAACTACAACTAAAAAATAAAATATTTTTTTAAAAAAACATTCTACCAAAAAAAAAAAAAAAAATAGAAAGAACCTGGTAGAATAAGCAAATTTATTGGGTACAAAATCAACAGATATTGCATTTCTATACACTAATAACAAATAATCTGAAAAGGAAATTGAGAAACAATTCTATTTACAGTATCCTCAAAAAGAACAAAATACTTAGGAATGAACTTAGCCTAAAAAGAGAAAACTATAATACATTGCTGAAAGAAAGAGAGAAATGGAAAGACATACCATGTTCATGGATCGGGAGGTGTATATATATAAAAATTACCTCCAAATGAATCAAAGACCTAACATAAGAGCCAAGACTAAAGAATTCTTAGGAGAAACTTAATGACCTTGGATTTGATAATGATTTCTTAGAACAAAAAACACAGACAATGAAAGAGAACAACAGATAGGTTGGACTTTATAAAAGTTAAAGAAACAACCAAGAAAGTTAAAAGACACAGAATGGCAGATTATCTGCATAAATATATATATTAATAATATACATATTATTAAAGAATGGATACTAACATCTAAAGACAATCAAACTCTGAGAGGGTACATTGTCCAAGAAAAACTGGGACCAAAGAGAAAACAATAATAAATATATTAATAAATGTATTAATAAATGTATGTATAAATGTATATATATATAAAAACATACATTTATTTTTTTCAATGCTGGGAATTGAACCCAGGGCCTCACACCTGCTAGGCAAACACTCTACCACAGAGCTGCACCTCCAGTGCCTAGAATATATATTTTAAAAATTCTTAAGTCATCAATAAAAGCCAGAGCCAAGTGTAATAGTGCATACATATAATTTTAGCTACTGGGAAGGCTGAGGTAGGAGGTTCACAAATTCAAGGCCTGCCCAGGCAATTTAGCCCGACCCTACCTCAAAATAAAACATAAGTAGAGCTAGGAGTTAGGTGCAGTGGCACCTACCTATAATCCCAGCAGCTTGAGAGGTTGAGGCAGGAGGATCTTGAGTTCAAAGCCAGCCTCAGCAAAAGTGAGGCCCTAAGCAACTCAGTGAGACCCTGTCTCTAAATAAAATATAAAAAAAGGGCTGGGGTTATGGCTCAGTGGTAGAGCACTTGCTTAGCATGTGTGAGGCACTGGGTTCAATTCTCAGCACCACATATAAATAAAGTCCATTGACAACTAAGAAAATATTTTTAAAAAAAGAATATGAAAATCTGCAGTGTTCAGGTCCCTTTTGTGAAATGATGTATTTGCACAGAACTTCCATGCCTACTGCCATAGATTTTCACATTTCTTGTGTTTGGGCCAGGCTATGTGGGCAATGACCAAACTGACGCCATCTTACCCTGAGACTCCACTTCATGGAAGACAGGCTTCTCCCATGGGAAAGCCCCGCCTCCAAGCCCATCAGCAGTTGCTTAGCATAGAATGACAGCATGTTTGGCAACACAAAATGGCAATTCTTATACAATGTAAAATTGTTCTCTCTTTGGTTCCCATTTTTCTTGGACAATGTATGCTGTCAGAGATTGATTGTTCTTTAACTTGTACTCAACCCAGATCATTTTTAACCCACTTTCCCTTCTGCTCATGATTTTATATCTCCTGACGTTTGTTTATGGTTTTGAATCATAGCAACAGCCACTTACAATTAATGTGGTTTGGGACTATAAATATTCACTCTACCCTTGAGGGGGTCTAAGGGTGTAGACTGGCAGCCTGCCCCTTAGCCCACCAGCTGGTGGATCCGGACCGCTGGCTGGTGAATAAAGTTTCCATCTCCTGATTTAAGATTGACTCAGTGATTTATTGCAGTCTCACCATAACACCTGTAATAACTAATGCAATGTAAGTGCTGTGTACATATTTGTACATATATGTACATATAAACAGTAGGCTGTATTGTTTAGACAATCATAACAAGAAAAAAAGTTCATGCACATTTAGTAAAGATGCAATTAAAAAAAAATTTCGACCTGTGGTTGGTTGAATCCACAGATACAGAGGCCTGGGTATTATGTCCACACAAGACTTATACATGAATGTTCATAGCAGTTTTATTTGTAATAGCCAAAAGCTGGAAACAATTCAGATGCCCATTCACTGAAAAATGAATGACACACTGTGGGTCCATCTGCACAATGAAATACTACTCAGCAATAAAAAAGGATGAAATATTGATACACACAACAATGTGGAGAAATATTGAAACAGCTGCTAGATCATCTTGTTCTGCCCTCAGGGGAACCTCAGCCCATCCCTGTCCTTCATGCCTCTTCCTGTCCCAGACTGTTCTAAGTGAGGACCATGAACAGGTGGAAGGTCTAGTTCCCCAATTATCCAGTCATTGATTTTAAAGTTGCGATGGTCAGTTCTAAGTTCAAATCTAAAGGTATCCCATCAACACAGCTTGCATAGCTAGATCAGGTGGTGTGTATGAGCTTCCTGTAGCTGCTGTAACAAATTATCATAGACCAGGTAGAAGAAAAAAGCAGAAATATATTCTTGACTAGTCTGGAGGCTACAAGTCTAAAATCAAGATGTCTATCGGACCACACCCCCCCTGAGGGCTGTAAGAAAGAATCCATATCAGGCCTCTATCCGGGCTTCTGCTGGCTGCAGGAGAGCCTCAGCTGTGGAAGCGTCATGTTAATCTCCATCTGTCTTTCTGTGGCCTTCTGCCTTCTGTGTTTCTGGGTCTCTCCACTTCTTCTAAGGACACTAGGCCCTGGATTCAGAGTTCACCCTATTCCTATGGACTATTCACCTACCCATCTCAAATTAGCTAATTATACCCACAAAGACCCTGTTTCCAAGGAAGCTCACTTTCTGAGGTTCTAAATGAATTGGGAGGGATGCTACCAAAACCTGTTGGGGGGTCTCCATTGCCCCGTGAGCAGGAAACATTCCCCTGAGGGTCAAGGGAGCCATATATGGGCAAAGGCTAGCTGTTTGGGCAAAGGTTGGAGGCCAGGTGATATCTGACTCTCCCCGCCCACCCTGGGAGGGAAAATGCAGAGAGGAGGAGGAGGAAGAGCCGATCTCCAGCTCCGGGTGAGCACCTGCTTTTCTGTGTGACTTTGGTCAGGGGATACCCCTCTCTGGGCCCCCTGTCCCGCCTGATTAATGGAGCACAGGTCAGGCCTGAATTCCTCCAAGATCCTCGCCAAGGTTGAACACATTCCAGGGGAAGGTGGGGTCTTTCTCAGGCCCTGGTGTTGGGTCTGCGGGTTTTCCATGCTGTCCAGAAGGGCCACCAACAGCTTTCTCTTTGTGGACAGAGAAAACTCCGGTCTCATTTTGAGGGACAGGAGCGCGAGGGAGGGCAGCCTCTAGGACTAGAGCCGAAGCCGGGAAACCACCACCTGGAGGCGGGGCCGACCTCCTGGAGGCGGGGCCTTGGGCCGCGCAGCCCCAGGCTTATTTGCATCTCATGCCCTCCAGCCAGTCAGAGGCCGGGCCTGTTGGCTGGTGGCCTGGGATTGGTCCATCCTGAGATTCCACCCCAGGTGGTTGGGCCAGGCCGGCCCTGCCTTCAGAGGTTCGTCTCTCCATGGTCATGGCCACCAACGTGTCCAGGGCCAGCGGTCCCTTCCATCTCCTGCCCCAGGAAGAGCGGATGGTCCTCATCGTTGGGCAGGGATCCAGGGGGCTTTTTGGTTCCAGGAAGGATTTCTTCAGTTCCCTGAGGGTAGGGGAGAAGAAAGACCCCATCAGAGATCCTGTCCCCAGGTGGGGATCCTGATGACCTTGGAGGACCAGCAGTGTGCAGGGTCACACAGTATCTCCTTGTCCAGTACTTTGTCTAGGCCTGTCCCCTCTGTCTGCAGAACCTCTCTTCTCTGTGCCTAGGCCACCTACAGTTCAGGCCACTGATACTCGCTCAGACACCGTAGCTCCCTCCCACCTCTGCCTTTCTATTTCCCTTTGAGAAAAAAATATTTTCCCACAGCAGCTGGAGGGAACTTTAAAACACTCGGGCCAAACCATTCCCTCCCCAGCAGGCCTGTCTCTGCGGGGGCTGGTGCACCCGCTGTGACCTCCCGTGTCCTTCCCTAGGGCTGGCTCCTCCTCATGGGCGGCCAGACCTACCTCTTCCAGAACACCGACCTGACTTTTCTGGCTGCAGATGCGCCCCACCACAGCACCCCGCTTTGTTATCTTAGCCCCCACTGCCTGCTGGGACCCAACTTGTTTCTTTTTGTAGATTTCATCTGCTCCCACAGCAATCACATGGTGCTGGCCAACGGCCATCTACCCCCATCGTGTGTCTTATGTAAGATTTTTCTCTGAGTTGGCTCATTTTTGAATTAAGTCATTTTATCTTAAGAGATTATATATAAATATCCTAAGAGCAAATCTCTTGGCCCTGCCAGAGGTAGGAAGTCATCATAAAAAAACAGATACAAGCTGGTCACTGCGCACACACCTGTGATCCCAGAGACTGGGGAGGCTGAGGCAGGAGGATCACAAGTTTGAGGCCAGTCTCAGCAACTTAGCAAGACCCTAAGCAACTCAGTGAGACCCTGTCTCTAAATAAAATATTAAAAAGGCTGGGGATGTGGCTGGGGACGTGGCAGATGGGCTCAGTGGTTACATGCCCCTGGGTTCAATCCGCAGTACAAAAAAAAAAAAAAAAAAAAAAAAAAAAAACACAGATGTGAGAAAAGTAAACAGTATTGAGCCCCGCTTGCTCCTGTGACAGGAAACACTGCATTCTGTTGAGGATGACCCTGCATCCACCTGAGCCTGTCCACAGGAGGGAAGACAGATGGGGACAGATGGGGACTCACCACATCCCTCCCCTGAGTTATGCCACCCGCCAAGTGCCCAGAACCACCAGGCCTTCCCTTGCTGTGCAAGCCCAGCCTGAGACTGACCTTCACCAATGTGTCGTCCAGGGCAGTGATCTCCTCCTTGGGGGCCACTGACGCCGTCTGTCGAGCAAGGTCCCACCAGAGCAGCCCAGGGCCCAGGGCACTGCGCTTGGTGGGGCCTGGGGGCGGGGAATTGAGGCCATTAGTGAGGAGGCAGTGGGGGCTGGGACGGGGCCTGGGGGTGCAGGGGAGGGCCTGGGGCCAGCGTGGGGTGGCTCCAGTCCCAGCCCCAGCAGCTCTGCCCCTCTCTGAGCCCGTCTCCTGTCTGCACAGTTGCTGGCCGGGGCGGGGCGGTGCCAGCCTGTGTGTCGCCCAGGGCAGCATCCAGGTGTCTCGAATGGCACCTGGCACAAGGAGGCTCAGCGAGGCCTAGGGACTGGAAGTCTGCCACTCGGGGAGTGGGACTGCCACTCTGTCCCTATTCACCTCTCTTGGCTTCTTTCTATTCTCTGTGGGAGTCAGAAATCCGCGCGGAGTCACCGTGCCGCAGAGAGAAAAGGCGTTTCAGCACCAGGGACAGCGCCCGCGCCCCCTCCCTCGCCTACAGCGGGGACTTGTGTGGAGAGGGGACAGCTGGTTCCTGCTTCTGCAGTAGGGCCAGCCTCGGAGGTGGGGACTGTCCCCGAGGTGCAGCACAGGGGTCCCAGTGTCAAGCCTGCAGACTCCCTTCTTCCTCTCCCTGCTGGGAGGGGCCCTGAGGCAGGGATGACCCAGATGACCCAGGTGGCCCTAGGTGGCGGGCCCGCTTACCGCTCAGGTAGCTGACCAGGGCCCCGCCCAGCATGGTGGTCAGCGTGCCCAGGGCGCCGTAGTACAGGTAGGAGATGGCGTAGAAGCTGTCAGCTAGAGCCGGCCTGCCCGGGGCCACCCTGGAGCTGGAGGTGGGAAGCGTGGGCAGGAGCCTCCCGTCGCACACCTGTGTCCCTCCCAGAGCCCTCCCAGGCCTCCCGCTGCTCTCCACCTCCACGGCCACAGCCTGGCCCGGAGGACCCCTCAGCGCTCACTGGATGTCCTCAGCAGCCAGCGCTGCTCCCAGGGACCCACTCCCAGGCCCCACCCCGCTCAGCAGGAGACCCGGGCCTCTCCTGCCGCTGCCTGTCACCATCCATGGCTCCCTATTGACCTCAGAATCAAACCAAATTAAACCCTTGGAAGAAAATGTACACATAGATCCATGAGGATGGTGTAGGCCCTGGGCTCCTAGACGGGACAAATCAGGCAGAAGCTAAGGGGGGAAAAACATGAATTGGACTTCATCAAAACTAAGAACTTTCCCCGGGCATGGTGGGGCCCCCCAGTAATCCCAGCAGCTCAGGAGGCTGAAGCAGGAGGATGGCAACTTAGCAAGGCCCTAAGCAACTCAGCGAGACCCTGTCTCAAAACCAAATTAAAAAACGGCTAGGGATGTGGCTCAGCCCCTTGGATTCAATCCCTGGTACCAATAAATAAATAAGTAACAGCTTTTCGGCTGGGGCTATCGCTCTGCAGTTCAGCTGGCACTTAGCAAGCTCAAGGTCCTGGGTTTGATCCTTAGCACCACCACAAAGTAAACATAAATACATAAACAAATAATTCTAATAAGAAGGAAAATGCAAATTAAAATTTTCTTTGTATCAAAGAACACTGTCAAGAGCTGGGTGCGGTGGTACACGCCTGTCATCCTAGCGGTTTGGGAGGCTGAGACAGAAGGATCAAGAGTTCAAAGCCAGGGATGGGGATGTGGCTCAAGCGGTAGCGCGATCGCCTGGCATGGGTGCAGCCCGGGTTTGATCCTCAGCACCACATACAAACAAAGATGTTGTGTCCGCCAAGAACTAAAAATAAATATTAAAAAAATTTTCTCTCTCTCTCTCTCTAAAAAAAAAAAAAAAAGAGTTCAAAGCCAGCCTCAGCAACTGTGTGGCACTAAGCAACTCGGTGAGACCCTGTCTCTGAATGAAATGCAAAATAGGGCTGGGGATGTGCTCAGTGGTTGAGGGCCCCTGAGTTCAATCCCTGGCACCAAAAAAAAAAAAAAAAAAAAAAGAAAGAAAGAAAGAAAAAAAGAAGAAGACTGTCAAGGACTGGGTTGTAGCTCCGTGGTTCAGCACTTGCCATGCATGAGGCACTGGGTTCCATCCTCAGCACCACGTTAAAAATAAATAAATAAAGCAAAGATATTGAGTCCATCTACAACTAAAAAAAAAAAATGCATTTTTTTAACCTTAATTTTATTTTATTTTATTTGGTGCTGAGAATCAAACCCAGTGTCTCACACATGCTAGGCAAGCGCTCCACCACGGAGCCACCACCCCAGCCCTACAACTAAACAAACAAACAAACAAAGAACACTGTCAAGAGAATAAAAAGATAAATTATAGAAGGTGAGAAAATATTTGCAGAATCACACATCTGATAAGGGTCTAGTACCCAGAATATATAGACATATATAGATGATGTAAATTAAAACTCAACAACAGAAAGACAAAGGACTGCTGGGGTTGTGGCCAGTATCACTATGGGGAAATGTAAATCGACCCCCAAGGAGAGGCCCTCCACCCTCTAGGAGGTCTGGGTTTTGTTTTTTTTTTTTTCTTTAAGAAACAGCAATGGAGAGGATGTGGAGAAGTTGGGCCCCTGGCCTGTGGCTGGTGGGAGTGTAATTAAACAGAATTACCGTATGACCCAGCATTTCCACACCCAGGGATACACCAAGAGAGAGGAAAACACATTTCACACCAACGCTCATGCGCAGATGTTTACAGCGGTTCATGATCCCAAGGAGTGGACAACCCGCGTCCATCAGCAGATGAGCAGATTAACCAAACGTGCGGCCACCCCCACTGCAGATGTACTCGGCCACAGGAAGGAATGGAGTCAGCCTGGCTGAGCCTCGAACTAGGCTGAGGCCAAAAAGGTCACTTTGTCCAATTTCGATTCCAGCTACATGAAATGTCCACAAGAGGCAAATCCGTAGCAAGAGAAAGAGGAATTGTGGTTTGCCAGAGGCTGGGGATGAGAGGAAAATGGAAAGGGACTGCTCATGGGATAGGGCTTCTCTCTGAGTTGATGAAAATCTTCTTTGTTAGATGGTGCCGATGGCCGCATAAATTTTATCCATGTACGACCAGACCCCCTTTTAATCCAATCTGTGGTATGTGACTCCTATCTCAATTTTAAAAACTAGAATCCAGTTGAACTCCTCTCCCTGCATGTCTCCTACCTTCCCTCCTCTCTGCACCTGGGCTGCAGCAAGCTGAAACGAGCCTCAGGGTCTTTGCACTTGCTCCTCTGTCCTCCAGGAACACTGTTCCCGAGCCTCGCTCCTTCTTCCTCAGGGTTCAGGATTCCTCCCTGACCGCGCACGCTCAGGCCAAGTGTCTGCCACCTCCCAGACCAGCCTGCTCACCTGGAGGTCCTGCTGGAGGCGTTGGTGGTAAGGGTCAGCTCCAGAAGATCAGAGGCGTTGGCTGAGAGAGTCCCGCAGCCGTAAGTGGATGATGGCAGGACTCCCATGATCTGGGCGCTGGGCGGGTAGAGCGTGGCGCCCATGGCCACCCACAGCGAGAGCGCCAAGCCCATGACTAGGCCAGAGAGGACGCCCTGGAGGCGGAGCCAGCGTCAGGGAAGGGGGCTGCCAGGCCACGCCCCCAGGCCCCCCCCCCCCCCCCCCCCCCGGCCCCCCCCCCCCGCCCTCCCCACTCACGGGCGTGTTGCAGGCAGGCAGGAACATCCCCAGCATGAAGGCCCCTAGCAGGGGGCCGCTGATGACACCCATGACCGTGAAGGACCCCTGTGAGAGTAAGGGGGGCAGGGCTGAGGGCAGAGCCGTCCTCAGGTCACCCACTGGGAAAGCAGGACCCAGGGGTTCCACCCGGGGCTCCAGCGTCCCAAAGGAAGGGGAACCCCTCCTCCCACTTCTCGGAGCGGTGACAAGGTGACAAAGAGTCTTTCTCCAAGGCAGGGAAGTCCTTTCAGTCCCCAGGACAAAGCCCCCCACCTCCCTTGTCCCCTCGCCGCAGGAAGCGTCCTATCCAGTTCTGCGCGACGTCGGCGACCCTCTCTGAGCCTCAGTTGGGCCGGGACGATGCCCCACGTCTTGGGGAGATCAGATGGGGTGGGGTGCAGAGCTCACCTGGAGGACACCACCCCCCAGCAGCGAGGACAGAGCCGCCACCGTGAGACAGACTGAGCCGTAGATGAGCGCTGCAGGGGACACGGGGTGGCCCGTCAGTGGGAGGCACCGCCCCGCTCCCATGCCCGAGGTGCCCCAACTCACAGAGTCCCTTGGAGATCAGCATGAGTTTCCGGGTCGCCAGGTTGGGCTTCCGGGGCTTGATGAGGTCCTCCACGGTGACCGCGGCCATGGCATTGATGCTGGTGGACGCGGTGCTGCGAGGGGGGAAAATGGGAGAGGGGTCAGCAGGTAGGGCTTGTCACCCCCGCTCTGGCGTCCACCTGTTGCACCAGCCACTCAGCTACCAAGTCCAGCTAGGCTGCCAAGACCCCGCCCATCAGGAAGCAGAGGTGGGGGTGACCAGAGTCCCCAGGGAGTGGAGGAGCCCTGCAGTCCTGTCCTGCTCCCGAGACAGGAGATACTCCCAGGAGAGCAAGGGTACTATGACCAAGGTCACATGAGACAGAAAGGCTGGTTGCACCAGGGAGACTGAAGGCATGTGTAAAACCACCAGTGTGGGTAGCCCCAGAGGGCAGGGGTGGGGTCAGCATGGTCAGGATGCAGGACAGCAACACTGGCCTCATAATAGGTGCTCAATAAACACTCATTTGAGAAGGAAGGCAGAGGAAGAGGGCAGTGTCCCTGCTGGAGCTGGGGTCCCTGTGCTCAGAGCCCACACTGGCTGCCATCAGGGCAGTGGGCAGGAACTGTGAATGGGTGGATGTTCCAGCATATTCCAGCCCCGGGGAGACATCAAGAGCGAGGACGCCCTTGGGGACTTAGATGTGGCTGCTGAGCAAGTCGGAGGCTCACCTGAGGGTGCCACTGTAGGCACAGGCAAGGAAGAGCCCGGGGACTCCAGGCAGGTCCTTGAAGATGTCCAGCACGAACAGGGGCATGTACTGGGGGAGGAGGAGCCGGGGTCACCCTCTAGGACAGCAGCGTCCCAGGGGAAGCCTCCTCTCTGTCCTGACCCTGCATGTCCCCACTGCCCAGGACACACGGGACTCAGAGTGACAATGTAGATCTGAGAACTGTCCCTGAGCCCCACTGTGTGCCCAGTGACACAGGGTCCCCTGCCATCAACATTTTACTCACGAGGACTGTGGGGCCAGAGTGGCACCATTATGGGGCCTAGGATCTGACCCCGTTGGCGGGACAGCAGATGGGATAGCCTTGTGACCTCTGCCAACTCGGAACCCCATGGCTTAAGCTCCAGCGGGGGTGCCACCCAAGAAGGGGACCTGGTCCCAGAGCTGCCCAGCCTCCTGCTAACCTCAGGTGCATTCTTCCCCTCCGAGCCCCAGTCTCCTCCTCTGTAGAGGAGAGCTGCGGCAGCCTCGCCCTCTCCACTCCGGAAGAGCTAAGGGCTCGCTGAGGGCTTGTGAAGGGAACAGCATGAGGAACAGCAGGTGCTTGGGACATCAGTGTCAACACCACTTCATGCTGGATCACATTCCCATATCCTCCTTTTTTTTTTTTTAAATTGGGGATTGAACCCAGGGGCATTTGACCTACAACCCTAACCCTTTTTATTTTTTACTCTTAGACAGGATCTTGCTAAGTTGCTGGGGGTCAAGGTTACGAAATTGCCAAGGTTGGCCTCAAACTTGTGATCCTCCTGCCTCAGCCTCCTGAGTAGCTGGGATTACAGTTGTTTGCCACTATACCCAGCTCCATATCCTCCTTGATGTCCCCTAGGGGGTCTCTGGGACTCTCAATATGAATGTTCCCCTCCCCTGCTCACGGGGCTTCCCATTGCCTCCCTGACTCATCTCCCCCTTATCCTACATCCTCCTCTGAGCTGTTTCCTGCCTCCGGGCCTTTGCACAGGCTGTTCTTTCTGCCAGGAAGGCTCTTCTAGCTCCATCCCCCAAGATTGAGAAGTGGGGCGCAGGACTGCCAAGGGCGGGAGGGCTCAGTGGGACTCACTTGATCTGGGGCAGAGATGCGCCCTGTGAGGAGGGGGTCACAGCTGTTGTAGAACACAAACATGACGATGCCGCAGAAGGCCGCACTGGACACGATCAGGACCAGGCCCAGCTGGTTGATGAGGAGGGCCCTGGGGGGAGGGGCAGCTCAGGCCAGGGAAGGGGGCCGCGGCCCGGAGGCCTCCCGGGCCCCCGCACTCACAGCTTGGCCTGCCTCTCCGTGCGGCAGGCGACGTAGCGCTGCACCTGGGCCTGGTTCACGCCGTACACCGAGAGCCACACCAGCGTGCCGCCCACCACGAACGTCCAGAACGTGTAGCGGCTGCGAGGATCAGGGTCGAAACTGGTAAGGACAGGGCGGGTCAGCCATGTGCACATGTCACATTGACCTCACCTACCCCAGGACCCCAGATGGCCATCCTGGATGTCCTGGGCCCTCAGAGAGCCTCTGCGGCAGGCCCTCAGTGTGAGAGCAGTTTGTCTGATTGAATGCACTCTTTATTCCGAGTCACCTCCGGAAGCATTCAGAAGACACTCTCTCTGTGCAGCTCGGTGCTAAGGCGCTTGCTCACCATGCATAAGCCCTAGCTTCCATCCCCAGCACGGAAAGAAGAAGAAAAGAGAAAAATAGATCCTTCCTTTGCTGTTGGGTGTGGAGGCGCAGGCCTGTAATCCCAGAGGCTCTGGAGGCTGAGGCGGGAGGATGGCAAGTTCAAAGCCAGCCTCAGCAACTTAGCGAAGCCCTAAGCAACTCAGCGAGACCTTGTCTCTAAATAAAATATTAAAAGGACCGGCGACGTGGCTCAGGGGTTAAATGCCCCTGAGTTCCATCCTTGGTTCAAAAAAAAAAAAAAATCATCCTTTCTTTGTCCAGCTGGGAGATCCAGGAGGCTTCAGTGTCCAGGCTGGCCTGGGCACAAGGGACAGAGCTGGATGTAGACCTGCCTCTCCACCCCCCAGAGCCAGTCCTGGCCAGAAGGAGGGATGGGGCTGGAGGGGTGCAGGGTGGCAGAGGCAGGGCTCAGTCTGCAGGGAGCTGGGGAAGGGGCAGAGAGGCTTCCTGGAGCAGGCAGCATTGGCTGGTCCCCCGGGGCACAAAGGGGGTGTCCTGCTTTACAGTTAACTCACTCCAACAGGTTGATCCTCGAGTGATTCTGAGCGAGCCTGAGCACACGCCAGGGCCCTCCCATGAGCACGGTGCCACGGGCCAGGATGGCCCAGAAGCCAGCGAGCATCACCACCACCTGGAACACATCCGTCCAAATCACAGCCTTCATGCCGCCCTGCAAGGAGGAGCAGAGAGGAGTCAGCTGGGCGCCTGACCGTGGCTGGCCCCGTCTGACTTGGGGACCAATGTGTCTCTCTGCCTTAGTTTCTTCATCAATAAAATAGGGTTAATAGGGCTGGGCTGGGGCTCAGTGGCGGAGCGCTTGCCTGGCATGTGTGAGGCCCTGGGTTCAATTCTCAGCACCACATACAAATAAACAAAACAAAGGTCCATTGACGACTAAAAAAAATATTTTTTAAAATACAGTAGGGTTAACAATGCTTTTGTTTGTGAGATCTAAATAAGTTAATAAGTGAAAAAGACTCAGAAGAGCACCTGGAACTCAGGGACTCAGTGAGCGATTACTGCATGACTATGCCCATGACTCTACTGTCATTACTAATTATTATTATTATTGGTACTGGGGATGGAACCCAGGGGCACTCAACCACTGAGCCACATCCCCAGCCTTTGTTTGTATTTTATTTAGAGACAGGGTCTCACTGAGTTGCTTAGGGCCTCGCTAAGTTGCTGAGGCTGGCTTTGAACTTGCCATCCTCCTGCCTCAGCCTCCAGAGCCGCTGGGATCACAGGCCGACTCCACTGGGCCCAGCCATTATTAGTTACTTCTTACCCAGCCAACCTGGTGGCTTAGAAGTCCCTGATTTTTCTTTGGAGAAGACCCTCCCCTCTTGCAGGGCAGCTTCAAGAATAGCCAATCAGAGCGCCCCAGACCCTCAAGCTGCCTGGAATGTTTCAGTCGGGACCTGGGACCACGGTGAGCCAGAGGCTGGAGAGGCGGGTGCTGAAAGGACCCTTCTGGGCAGGAAGCCAGAAGAGGTGGGAGCCTGGACCTGATGGAGCCCAGAGAAGTGGGAGAGGGACCCCGTTGGAGGCCCTGATTCAGCCACGCCTGAAGCTAGCCTATTCCTGGGTTCTCAGCAATGAGCTTTTCAGATCACTTTTCATTAGAAAGAAGAGAAAACCGAGACCCAACTAGGACCGGGGCTGACTTGGGAGATAGCAGGTCAGAGATGAGCTGGCGGACCCCAAATCTCCCCACAGAAGACCCAGTGGGCATGAAGCCCCCGCGTCCCCCCCCCATCGGGGACACTCACCACAGTCGTGTAAAAGGTGCAGATAATTCCGGTGGACAGGAGTGACGCCCAGATGTCCAGCCCGGTCACTGTGCAAATTAGACATCCCCCAAATTAGTCGTCCCTGCGGGGAGCAAAGTGGCCCTCGGAGTCTTCGGCCCTCCTCTCCCTCCCCCTCTTCCTGGCTAGCCTTCTCCGCCGGGACCCCCCTCCCCGATCTCCCAGGCGACCTTGGTTCAGGATGAGCGCAGGTGCGTAGATCACGATGCCGGTGTAGAGCACCTGCAGGCAGAAGGCGGGCGGGTGAGGCAGGGCGGGGGCGGGACCAGCCTGGGCGGGGTGCGGGCGGGGTCCTGTCGGTGGGTGGGAGGGGCCTACGAGGCGGAGCTAAGTCGCTATGTGGGCGGGGCCTGGGGCTGCGCTGGATTGGGGTGGGTCCGAGGAGCTGGGGACCGGCTGTGCGCGCTAAGGTTGGAGCCTACGGGGTCGCTGGGTTGAAGGCGGGCGGAGGCCACTCACTGTAGCCACCAGGTACTGCACCGTCCCGCAGAGCCGTACCACGCGGCTGAATCGCAGCTCCAGGTACTACAAAAAAAGGAGCCGAGGGCTTGTGGTCACCGGGACAGTCCCGAGGAATCTGGGGTCCCTGCCCGGCCTCTCGGTTTGGACCCTCCCTCCGGAGGCGAACTGCGCTGGCCCTACTTTTGCCCCAGCGCCCCGCGCACACCCGGATCTGTCCGCGCACTCGTGCCATCTCGGTGCCTTGCACAGGACGTGTGCCCTGGAGGAGCGATCCATACTTGCACACCTGTCCTCCCACTCATGTCTGACCGCCGGGGTCGCCCTTACAGCGAAGTGCGACAAAGCACAATGCAGTGCCGGGTGGCCAATGGCATTGGAGGCTACTGAATACCGGACACGATTACCGCTTTACTCTCCGTCCCGGGGCGGGGGGCGGGGGGAATCATATCAACGGCTCACCTGGGACAGGTAGAAAGCCCGAGCAGAGAAGCGCCCTTGCTCAAGGTAGAGGTCAAGAGTTAAGCTGGGTTTTGGACCCAGAGCAGGGGGTCGCCCCTCTAGAGTGCATAAGTATGAAAGTGCGGGACACGTTGGGGACAGGTGTGTGCCTGCCCACACGCGGGCTGAGGCTGCACCGCCCTCGTGCGCCCGCACCAAGGAACCAGGACACCCTCTTCGCTTCCTCCTTCCTGCCCCTCGCCCCACTGCCTGGGGCTCTTCCCAGAACCCTCCTGCAGGTCTGCCCGGGGCCCCACCAAGCGCCAGGAGCGGATCTGCCTCCCGCTGCACAGTAGCTCGCAGCCCAGGGCCTCCAGCCCCGGTCCCGGGTTCCCAGACAGGCAGGTCCCCTCCGGGTACCTGGTAGGTGCTGGTGAGGCCGAGGCGGTAGAAGACGGGCATGAAGAGCAGCGCGGTGAGCAGCGAGTTGAGCATCTGGCCCAGGCACATCCAGAGGAACTTGAGGCCGTAGCGGTAGGCCTCGGCGGGCACGCCCAGCACCTGCACGGCCGACATGAAGCTGGCGGCCAGGGACAGGCCCACCGGCAGGGCCGTCAGGCTGCGGCCCCCGGTGAAGAAGTCCTCGGCGCTGCGCTGCCCGCCCCGAGCCAGCCCGACCCAGAGCCCGATGCCGGTGGACACGAGCAGCATGAGGGCGAAGACCCCGTAGTCCCAGGCTCCGAACGTGGCCCGCGCTGCTGCCTCAGTGACCTCCATGAGGGCAGGTGCGACGGCCACCGGTGTCCTCGGCCAGGAGGCTGCAGCGGTGTGGGCGGTGGAGGATGCAGGGGGCCTATAGGGGAGTCCCAGCCTGTCCCCCTCCGTGTGGGGTGACAGCAGCAGGAGGGGCAGGGGCTCCCTGGGCCGGGGATCTGCGGGTCCTCGCGGTTTGTCCCTCTGCGCCTCCGTCTATCTGTCCACTTCACCCCGCACTCTGGGACCAGCTGCCCGACCCAGCTGCGTGCGAGCAGCTGGCCAGTCGGACCCCCTCCCCGGGCGCTGCGCCCCGCTGACAGCGGGAGGTCGCGGTGGGGCTTAAAGAAACAGTTCCAGGTTGTGGGCTGCGGATTTATTGGGCTCAGGGGTCAGAGTGGCTCCGCCCCAGACCTGGAGGCGGCCGGACCCGCACCCTTTCGGGTCTGGGGCAAACAAGCTGGGAAAGGCCACGTGGTGTCTGCTGGGGGCGGGGGCGCGGGGTCCTCCCCAAAACTCCACTCCCCCCCCACCCCACCCCCGCTTCCTTTGGAACTTTTCCCTGACCCCTGCCTGTCCATGCCAGCGGTGGACCAGTAGGGAAACAGACTTAGAGGGGGCCTGCCATTTGCCCAAGGCCACGCAGCCTGCTTCAAGCACTCAAAGTCCCCGGGCGCTCATTGTCCCACAGGTCGAGGTTTCACTTCAGGGTTTTGTGGGCGCCAAAGGGAAAACCGCTGAGCTTCAGCCCCTCGCCCCAACTAGTATCTGGATCTACTGTTTCCCCGGAGTCTCTGGGAAAGGACATCATCAGCCCCTGCCCTCTGGGCACCTGGGCGGGAGGCATTCAGGGCTCAAGTCCTGCAGGCGTCCTTGGGGGATTCTTTGCTCTTTCTCTAGGAAGAGCAGCATTCCCTGGGGCTCCCGTTCCCCATCTGTAAACGGGAAAAAATAGCCCGCGAGGAATGAATTGAGCCTGGTAACGTCGCCTGGCCGCGGGGTGCTTGGTCCGGTGACCTGGAGTCCATTATCTCCCACTCACTGCCTCCTTCAGCAACCGAGCAGGGAAGTCATCTCGGGCCAAGGGAGGAAAGTGGACGACAGAGGTCATGGGGTGACTGCTGTGGCTGCCAACCTCAGTACCTGAAGACCTGCTGCTACTGAGGAGGCCCTAAATAATCCCTGCAGCTTCACTTGCTCTTTAAAAAAATACATTTGTATTAGTCGTTGATGGACCTTTATTTCTTTATGTAATGTGGCGCTGAGAATCCGGCCCAGTGCCCCACACGTGCTAGCAAGCGTTCGGCCACTGAGCCACCGCCCCAGCCCTTCACTTGCTCTTAATTGACTTAAAAAGCACTGGCCGTGGAGGCCACACAGCTGGACAGGACATCTCTGGTCCCTCTCTGGCTTTGCTGCAGATCACACCTCTGATCTGTGGGTCACGATGATAACAGTTGCCTTTAGGGACTGGAAGGTCACTTGCTGCAAACACCAACTCTTCTTTTGGGCCCACGGGAGTGTGGTGGGTGGCTGGAGCCGGTGGGATGCCCGGCCTCCCTGCCTCCACATTGTCTGTGTCTCCTTTAACTTAAGGAGCAGGTGCAACGCCACTCTGCACGGAGACATGTGGCTGGTTTGAGTTTTGTCCAAAACTCTCCCATGGTCAATGACTGGACTCCGGGGCTCTCTCTGCCCCTTCCGGCCCCCTTTAAGGCTAAGCACACCCACCAGCCACCTCGACCCGAACAGCAGACCAAGAAAGGAGTGACCGGAGGTGAGAGCCAGTTCCTGGAAGACCTGCACCTCTGCCCAGAAGGACAAGAGGACTCCTCCCCTTTCCAGCCGGTCCCTCTCCCTCATTATTCCTGTCCTATGTTCTGTCCCTCCCCTCCCCCCGACCCCGCACAGCCCCAGGGAGAAGCGGTTGTGAGCTCTCTTCTTTCTGTGGCCACTGGACACGCCCTGCTCCCCACACTCGTCTCCACGACGTCACCTTTTTTGTGGGCTCGAAGCACCTTGACTACCCAGGAAGGAGGGGGGATCTGGGGGTCTCCACTGTGCCCACCGCTTGGAGGAGGGACAGGAGGCTCAGGGTTGGAGGTCTGCTGCCTAGGGTCGTGTAGCCACGGTCCCTAGGAGCTGTCATCTCAGCGCCCTTCCTGGTGGACCTGGGGTCTCTCTGGGTTGAGGTCCTGCTGGGACCCGATTTCCCAGGGGACCTCACTCTGAGAGCTCAGTTCCCTCAGATTACTGTCCTCTTCTCCAGCTTCCGTCGCCCCCTGGTGGCATCCTGTGGCCTGCACATGCCACCTGGCAGGGTCCAGCACCCCCCAGAGGTCCCACCTGCCCCTGGACAGTCTTCTCAGGCCTTCACTCCATGCTGTCACACAGGCAGCTGTTGCCTGCTGGCCTGTCCCTCCACCAGGGTGATCCTGCATGCACCAGGCTTGGGCTGTGAAACTGGCTCATTGAGCACCTACTGTGTGCAGGGCGTGTCAGGCACTGTGACCCAGCAGCACCCAGGAGGGCCTGCCCTTGTGCTGCCTCCTGACGCTGACCCAATCAGCAGTCATTTCAGGAGGTGAGGTGAGAGGTGGAGACAGCCTGGGGGTCCTGGGAGTCCCTCCCGGTGGAGACCTGCAGGGTGCACCTGCTGGAGGCCTCGGGGAGGGAGCTCCAGGAACAGCACCTGCTGTGGGAAGAAACAAGCAGGGAGGCCACTGTCCCCCTGGGTCATGGGGACAGTGCTGGGGAGCCACTTGAGTCTGGGGCAAGTGACCATATCCAAGATGGAGCTGCAGGCTGGATTTGGACATGTTCTGGAATCCTGGGGGGAGGCTGCAGGGCGGGCGGGGCACTCTCCTGTGGTGGTGGGGACGTGGGGGAAGGAAGGACTAGCAAGATGCACACAGGGTGGGCGGCCCCAAGTCAGGAGCTGGCAGGGACCACGGGCAGCTGCAGATGGTGGGGTGGAGGGGGCTCGGGTGCTGCCTGCCCCAGGCACCCCAAGGCTCCCTGAAGATGTGGCAGAGGCCAAGGGTGACAGCTCAAACTTCTGTGAGGTAATGATAATCCCCACAGGGTTTGTCTCCAGGATTCTGTCCCTGGGCTTCAGGACGTGGGCCTGGGCTCTCCTGTGCCCCTACTTATCTCACCTGCTCTTGGCATTGCCCTGGCTCAGGAATGGAGGCTCACACCCATCTCCCACGTTCCCCAGCCCTGTCCATGCCTGACACCCGGCACTTTGGCACCCAAGAACAGGGCTCTGGAGAGCCTCAATACCAAGAGGTGAAGGGGTCCCTGGACCTTCCCCCTGCTCCTCCTTGGGCCCCAGCCACCCTTCCATGCCCGCCCTGGCCAGCCCCACTCATGGCCATGGGGAAGGCTTCCCTCCTCGCTGGCCACATCTCCAGCCAGCAACCCTAACGCCTGTCAGACTAAAGAGGGTAGAGATGTCCCCAGCAGTCTCTACAATGCCCTGCCTCCTTCAGGCCCTGCTTTAGTTAAGTCCCATCTAACAGGGCAGCCCCCGACCACAGCCTGGTGACTTGACATATTCTAGTTTTGAGGAAGTGGGTAAGGCCCAGGGGTGGGGGCACTCTACGGGGTCAAGGTACCAAAGTTCCTCCCACAGTGTTGCTGGTCTTCCTCATGGTCCAAGAGGATTGCTGGAAGGCTGGCCCTATGCCCACACTCTGACCCAATGGTTATTTCCTGAAAATGGCTCACATCACAGAGCCACCTGATAGGGTGGCATTTAACTAGGGCGATCCTGAGAAAAGACAAGCAGGTTAACTAGGAGTTTCTGTCAGAAAACACGAACATTAACAAAACCCATTAGACAAGTTTTTTTAAGTTTAGCCACATCTCCACTAACATATGCTAAGGAACATCACAGGTGTCCTGCAAAACAGCATCTGGGACTTCCCCAAACAGCCCAGTAGAGCAACGAACCACTGGGGAGGTTTGTAGTTTTAAAAACCAGCAAAAAGTGCTCAGCTTCCTTCACAGAAAGAAAACAAGACAAATTCAAATGTGACTTAGAATAAGGTGACCCACGGTTGGAAGTGGCCTGTTCTTCAGTATTGTTGGGAAGGTGAACTGGTCCATCCGTAGAGAATCTTCAATGTTAAAAAACCCAGGCTGCAGGCCGGGGCTGTGGCTCAGTGGCAGAGCACTTTCCTAGCAAGCATGAGGCACTGGATTCAATCCTCTGCACCACATAAAAAATAAAGGCATCGTGTCCATCTACAAATATTAAAAACCAAAACAAAATCCCTGGCTAGCCAGCCACACCTGCAACCCCATGGGCTCAGGAGGCCAAGGCAGAAGGACCCCAAGTTCGAGGCCAGTCTGGGCAATGTGGTTAAGACCACAGGAAAATTAAAAGGATGTAGCTCAGGGATGGGGTTGTGGCTCAGTAGCAGAGCACTCGCCTAACACACCGGAGGCCCTGGGTTCGATCCTCAGCACCACATAAAATATTGTGTCTAACTTAGCACCCCTGGGCTCAAACCCAGTACCAAAGCTGCAGGATGGGGGTGGGGGAATGGGAAGAAACAGTAGAATGAATGGGACGTAACCTGCCTGTCCATGTGTGAATACACAGCCAGTGTACTCCACACAATGTACAACCACAGAACGGAGAACTCATGTATATATGATGTGTCAAAACGCACTCTACTGGGCCAGGGCCGTGGCTCAGTGGTAGAGCGCCTGCCTAGTAGTATGAGGCACTGGGTTCGATCCCCCCGTACCACATAAAAACAAATAAAGGTATTGTGTCCATGTATTATAAAAAACCAAACAAAACCAAAAACCCTCCACTGACATTTAAAAAGAATTAAAATAACCCCCCCCAACCCTGTCAACCCTATCCAGCAATTTATTAGCAACAGCACCCCACACGGTAAAGGGACATCCATTTCCCCCAAGACTTGCCTCAGAGCAAAGGTCCTGAGGTGGAGGAGCCAGCTGTTGAACAGGGACAGGGTGACCAATAGGCTTCTGCAGGGTCCCACCCCCAGACCTCTATTTCCTGTGACTCCATGGACACAGCTCAGCAGGCCCAACTCCTGGGCCTCTGCAGGCCCACTGTGGAGGAGTGGGGTGCTCTGGACACTGCAGATCTAGGGGTTGCCCTCTCAACCTGTGGGTCTCTGGGATATTAAGGTAGGCCCCGTAGCCTGTCCCCAGTGTTCACATGGTGGTCATTTTCCAACTACTGACAAAATAGTAAATGTCATGCTGACCTTCAGATGAAAATACCAGGCTCCAGAAAGCCAGGGCTGCCCAAGGTCACACGCCAGGGGAAGGAGGCTCCCCAAACCAAGTTCTTGGCTGAGCCTCTGCTCCATCTCTGCAGGCTTAGCTTTCTGCTGGTTGGGGGCTCAGCCAGGGTGGCGAACTCCAGGGTGGGATTAACTTGTGCCTGGTATTTTCCAGGCCTGAACTTGTTCCCTGGAGACAAGCACCTATGGGGAGACCTTAATCTCCTTAGGCAAGATTAGCGCTACCTCACCCAAGAGAGCAGGTCCCCAGGATGGCAAGCAGGTGCCCCCACGTGCCTGCAGAGAATCTGGGGAACTGCAAACCCAGTTAGTTCTAAGCCAGGGTCAGCCAAGAGGGTGAAACCTCAGGAGGTGGCAGGGAATGCTGCCCCACCACCTCAGAGGACTCTGGCCATGGGCAGGAGATAGACAGGGCTGAAGCCTGTGTCTCAAACAGAGTGGGGACAGATCCAGGGAACTATGACCTGCAGCTCACAGCCCTGGACTGGCTGAACAAGCAGGAGGGAGTTCAGGGGACTGGGGAGATGTGGGTTGGTTCGTTTGCATTGAGGACTTTAGTACGCAAGGCTCAGCTCAGTTGTCCCCCAGGGAGGTGACCCGGGCTGGATTCCTCTCACTGCTCAGTCTTGAGTTCTGCAGAGCGTGCAAAAGAAAACACAGGTCTGAGCCTAAGAATCAAGTTTATTTGGGTAACGCCTGGGGGGGCCCTGAACCTAGAAGAAGGTGTTGGGCCTCTTGGTGGTGAAGCGTGGCTTGTGCTGGCGACGCAGGACCCGATGGGGCAGCGGGAACTTGATCTTGGAGTCCTGTGGGGAGAAAGTAGTGAGGGGATGGAAGCCTCTTACCTGCATCTTCTGGGGCTCACCCAGGTGTGACAAGCCCCCTGTGCGGGACCCCCTAGGTGCAGCCTGCCCAGCAGGGCCCTTAGGGCACTCACGTGGAACTGCTTGACCGCCGGCCTCCGGCACTTGCTGGCCGCAATCTCCTCCACCTTCATGATCTGGATGGAGTGGGCCCGGGCACGGTGCCGGGCGCCCATGTCTCGGTCTGCACGGGGGGAAGGGGCAGTCAGCCAGGTAGTAGCCTGGGGGCTCCAACTGGGGGATGACTAGAGGTCACAGGCTCTGGCCCCAGCAGGCCTGGTCAAAGGAGTGTAGAACCTCCAAATTCACTTTGAGGGGCACAGCCACAGCCTCTCAAAGGCGACGAGATCCACTTGCTGTGCGCACCTCTGTTTAAACCACTGCTACGAGAAACAGCAATTCTTGGGTTGAGGTGCAGGTGGGAGGCACGGGGAATGGAGCCAGCCGCCAACAATGGACAGGGCCGGGCCAGTTCTTGGTGGGTCTGGAAAGACGTGGGGAGGACTCTCTAAACCGGGGAGGTTGGGCATGGGTATGATGAAAGATGGCGCATGATCCACACAGCCAGGGGTTCTTCCCTCTGAGCTAAGGTCCACCTGCTACCAGGGTCCAGACAAAAAAGCCCCCTGGGGCCTGAGCCCCTCCATCCGTCCTGCCCTGGAGTTCTGGTGTGCCCATGTCAATGGCCTGAGCACCTCTCTTTTGCTCTGAGAGTCAGATGGAACTGGAGATGCCTGTACTATTAGCCTGAGGTAGGCGGCGACACCAGCAACTCACAGCACTGGGTGACAGCGCCCGCGGTGGTCAGGTCGCGATATTCCCGGTACATATTGTGGGTGCCACTACGGGAGTCGTAGCGCAGCCAGATACCAAAGTTCTTCACCCGCAGTGGGGACTTCTCAAACACCTGCCAAGGCAAGGGGTGGTCAGCATGAGGTGCAAACGGCAAGCAGGCCTCCCCCGGGTCCTTAGTCCTGCCTCGGAAAGACAGCCCAACCCCCAGGGCCAGACTCTGAAGCAGCAGTTTCCAAGTCTTGCTCCTCTAGGCACCCTCAGGGGGCATACTAAGTAAGGGAAATACCCCCAAAACCCAGTGTAGAAAGGGTTCAGGCAGGGCTGCCTCCTAGCACATGGACACAGCTGTGGACAGTCCCCAATCTCCAAAGACAAGCAGGCCAAACTAGCCACTGCCTAATGTCCACTACAGTGCACCTGCCCAGTTACAGGACCTCTCCCTACTTCACACAGACATGGCCTAAGAGTCTTCACCAAGGAGTCCCGCGACGCCAACTACCCTCCCCCCAGGGTCCCAGGCTATATAACTATGGATCTGCACAGGGAAGCCCATCCCACATCATGGCTCCAGGTCTCTGAAGACTGCTAAGCCTGTAGATATGCCCAGTGCCGGCTGGAAGGCGGAGATCCACTCCAGATCGAGTGCCGTCTCAGACTCTCCATACCTGCCCACAGTAGACAATTTCCCCTGAAGACTTCTTCATCTTCTTTAGCTGAGATACAAAATACCAGAAGCGGGACTTGGCAACAACGTGATTGGGTGCAAAGATTCGCATTCGGTAGAGAGGTGGGGTGTGGCATTTGGGGGTGGGAAGGCAGCGGCCCACCACCTTGTATTCTCGAAGCTGAAAGAAAATAGCAGTAAGGCCAGGCTAGCACCCAGAACCAAGCCTGGCAATAGCCAGATACAGGAAATGGACGCAGGGTTCTCCTAGGACCTCCAGCAGGAATTCAGATGTCGTGGATCATATTCCCACCCCGACCTTCAACCACAAACCAGAGCAGTGAGGATTCTGGGTGCATTTCAAAATTTCTGATGCGCATTTCAAACCTGCTGTCCCTCCCTTTCTTTTTACAAGTGGGAAAACTGAGACCTAGATTGGCAGCCTCCTTTCTCAAGCTTTCATCCCTAACTGCTCTGTGATCCCTGAGAGTCACTCTGCAGTTTAGCAATCATCCTCTTCTATCCTGGGGTCTTGAGATCCCGGACAACTCAGGAAAGAACCAGGACAAGAACCCGGGGCCCTCTGCAACTGTGGTTCCCTGCAGAACCTTTGTCTACAGGTGTAAAGGTGAGGATGTCTGCCAAGTCCACAAATGGCAACGCAGCCTTTACTGACATCAATGAAAAACAGCCACAACTTTCCAAGACTCTGCTCCTACTTTCTGCTCTGGGCAGATCCACTGGTCTTGTGACCACCCACCTAGGAAGGGAAAAATGGAGCTGGCCCACAACTGATCCAGGGAGGAAACCGAGGTTGGAGGTCTGTACCTCACCCGTTCTTTTTTCCCAGAGGCAGAGTCTTGCTAAATCGCCCAGGCTGACCTCGAACAGGCGATCCTCCCACCTCAGCCCTCCGAGCAGCTGGGACTGCAGGCGTGCGCCATCGCGCCGGGCTGGCCGTACGTTTTCCCTGGTGCACTACAGTGCCCCCACTCTGCCCGGCGCGTGCACAGTCCTAAGACCCGCGCTCCTAGTTTGCGCTCGATGTTTGCCATGTCTCCTCCCAGCCACGCCAGGGCAGAAGCGACTGCTATCCCCTACCAGGTTAACTTCGCAGACGGGCAAACTAATGCTCAGAGACTAGAGAAAAGGCCGCGACACAGCCCCCCACGCTGTGCGACGTGTCCCTTCCCCTGGGAAGCGGACTCGGCCTCCCTGGGCCCTTGCGCCGGCCCAGGCCACGCGCAGGCCTCCCCACGCGGCGCCCGCACGGCCGCCATGTTGGCAACACCTCGGGGCGTCGGGTCGCGGCCTAGGAGGACCCAGACAGGAGCACGCACCGCCGACTCGGTCTGCGCCACCGACCCGGGCCCCTGGTGCGGTCCGCACCGCGTTCCGCAACCCCAGGCCACACAGCGCCCATCTTACCGTGCCCGAGGCCTTCATAGCGCTCTCTCTGCGATCGCCGCCACCCACAAAAGGAAGTTGCTTCCTTCGCGCAGCCGCTCACCATGAGTCCACGGCAGGAAGTCCCGCCCCCTAGAAGCTATGCGCTCATTGGCTTCTTGTCTCGGCGCTCAAAGAGGTCCGCTTCCTCATTGGCTTCGAATCCATCCACCAGTCCCAGCCCGGCCTCGCCTCACCGCGAGACTACATTTCCCAGGTGCAGCGAGCGTCACCTGTTCCGGGGCCGTGACCCAACGTCGGCGCCAGCGGCACTCGAATGGTCTCGTGTGGACTCCAGCGTTCCTTTCCCCACAGAGCCCAGAGGCAGCAGAGCCTACGATGCACTCGTGGGGATTCTTCCAACCTGGCGCCTCTTCTCCCCGGAAGTGCGTTACGGAGGTCTTGAGTCACGTGCCTAAGAGTTCTCATCTGTAAAATGGGAATAAAGATGTTTTTCGCCTATAGATGTTCTACACCAACGTTGATGAAGCGCTGAAATGCTAGTTGTTTTTGGAGGCCTGATTCGTGTTTTGTAGTAGCTGGGATTCAAATCCCACCTGTTTGCTCCCGGTTCTCACAGCTCCTGGGGGACCCGAGGATGGTGGTGGAGGACATTGGGACTGATCAAGATTCAACCCTTAGGGATGAGGGTGTATCTCGGTGGTAGAACACCTGCCTAACATGCACGAGGCCCTGGGTATGATCCGCAGCACAGAAGGTGGGGAAAAGACCCCCCCCAAATCCAAGATCCAGTCCCCGTCCTTGAGGGGTTTCTGGCTTAGCAGTTTGCTCAGGCAGAAAGAAGTCTCTGGCGAAAAGGAAATAACTACAAACAACTTACTGATAACAGGTTATAAAATAAAGCAAAGAAGAAAAAAGAGGAATAAGTACTTATTTTTGAGCGGAGGTGGGGCGCGGGCTCCTAGAGGAGATGACACTTGAGCCCCATGAGCATTTTTCCTTTTTTAAATTAAAATGTAGTAGCAGCTGGAACTGAAGTAGAGCGCTCCCTGTCACCAAAACAAAACAAAAAAGTAAAAATAAAATGAAATAATTAATAAAGGTTTAATTAAGATTCCATACAGTTCATTGAACGTGTACAATCTACTGGATTTAGTGGTGCACACCTGTTGTCCGAGCTATTCAGGAGGCTGAAGCAGGAGGATCACTGGAGCCTAAGGTTTCAAGGCCAGCCTGGGCAGTGTGGAAAGACTTGACTCTTTCTATTGGAAATAAATTGTACAATCCAAGGATTTTTAGTACATTCGAAGATGCACTTTCATATATCTTTCATATATGTACAGTTGTGTAAACATCACATTAGAATATTTTTACCATCCCCAGAAGAAACCCTTTACCAATAGCTTTCACTCCCCATTCCCTCCCCCAACCCTAAGCAAATTTGCCTATTCTGGACATTGCACATAATCCTATAAGATGAGGTCAATTGTGATTGGCTTCCTTTACCTAGCATAATGTTTTTTTTTTTTTAATATTTTTTAGTTGTTGATGGACCTTTATTTTATTCATCTGTATGTGGTGCTGAGAATCTAACCCAGTGCACCACACGTGCTAGGCAAACGTGCTACCGCTGAGCCCCAGCCCCAGCCCCAGCATAATGTTTTTAAGGTACATTCACGTTGGAGCATGGCTCAATACTTCATTTTTTGAAACCTATTTGTTCTTCTTAATTATACATTACTGTTGAGTGTATTTTGACATATCATGCATATGTGGAGTGTAACTTCCCATTCTTGTGGTTGTACATGATACAGAGATACACTGGTCGTGTATTCATATGTGAACATAGAAAAGTTATGTCTGATTCATTCTACACTAAAGTTATGTCTGATTCATTCATACACTACTATTTGTAGTATGAAACTACTATGGAATCGATGGGTTCTATGGTAGCTCTGTTTCCTATTGCCATCTACCCTCCTTAATTAAAAAAATATATTTTTGGTTATAAATAGATGTGATACCTTTATTTAATTAATTTATCTATTTTGGGGTACCAGGGATGGAACTCAGGGGCACTCATCCCTAGCTGAGCCACATCCCTAGCTCTGTTTTATCTTTTATTTAAAGACAAGATCTCACTGAGTTGCTTGGAGCCTTGCTAAGTTGCTGAGGCTGGCTTTGAACTCGCCTCCTGAGGTGCTGAGAATTGAACCCAGTGCCTCACACATGCTAGACAAGCGCTCTGCCACTAATATTACTAAAAATAATAGATTGTACGAATACATTATGTTTTGTTTATCTGCTCAACAGTTGGGCAATTTGTTTTTTTTTTTTTTCCCCTTTTGGCTACTGTGAATAAAGCTGTCAGAACATTTGCATACAACTCTTTGTGTCAACCTGTACCTTCAATTTTCTTGTGTGTGTAACTACAAATGGAATCGACGGGTCCTATCGTGGCTCTGTTTAACCTTTGATGACTGCTAGGTTCTTCTTCAAAACACCTGCATCAGGGCTGGGGCAGAGCCCCTGCCTCGCATGTGTGAAGCACTGGGTTCCATCCTCAGCACCACATAAAAAAATAAATAAATAAAGATACTGTGTCCATCTACAACTAAAAAATTGCCTGCATCATTTTATATTCCGACTACCAACACAGAAGGGTTCTGACTTCTCCACATCCTTTACAATGCTTTTTATTATTTTTCTCTCTTATTGTAGCCATCATAGATGTGTGAAATAGTATCTCATTGTGGTTTGGATTTTCATTTCCCTGGTGGCTAATAATGTTGAACTAATTTATTTATTTCCTTTTTAAAATTTTTACGGTGCTGGGGATGGAAGCCAGGGCCCTTGGGCATGCTAGGCAAGCATTCTACCACTGACATGCAACCCCAGCAAATATTTATTTTATTAATTTATTGCAGAACATCTATCCATTTGGCCATTTCTATATCTTCTTTGGAGACATCTCTATGGAAATGCTTTACCCAATTTTAAATCGAGTTGTCTTGTTCCTGTTGAGTTGGAAGAGTTCTTTATTCTATAGATACAAGGTTCTTATCACACATGTGTCTTGTAAGGTTTTTCCCTCCTGTGGGTTGTCTTGTCACTTCCTTGATGGGGTTGCTCTGAGATGTTAAAAGATTCAATTTGCACTAAGTCCAGTTTATCTTTCTTTTTCCCCTTTGGCTTCTTGCGCTCTTGGACACATGTAAGAAACTATTGTGGAATCCAGGAGCATGCTAGGTATGCCCAGGCTCTCCTTAGAAGAATTTGTAGTGGCAGCCCCTATCACTACCTCTTCCCGGGTTAGGACCCACTTTTCCTGGCCAACATCAGGCGAAAGGCAACTCGGTTCTAAAGGCGCTGCCGCCAACGTCCACCAGGTGGCAAAAGAGCCCTTCTTTCGTTGTGCGCAGCGAGGCCGAGAAGCCAGACCGCGGTGGGCGCGTGCTCCCGGTCCTCTGGCGCTTCGCCCCGCTGGGCAGGTTTCTCCACCCGTAAGATGAGGCCAACACCAGTGCCCAGCCCGCAGGGTTACTGTGAAATTCAAGTGGCCGCCGGATTATTCCTCCTGGGAAGGCGGGGACCCCCGCCCCGCCCCTGGGCTTAAACCTGCGCCTGAGCTGCTGCAAGGGGACCGGATGACAGAAAGAGATCCTGCAAACCCGACGACCGAGTCTCAGGTTGCAAAGGGATCCTGGGAGCTGGGGAGAGAACCGGGAAGGGAATTAGGGCAGGGGCGGGAAGGGATGGGGGGAGGGCCGGGGAGGATCCTGAGCCTCAGCCTTGGCCCTCGGCCTTGCGCTTTTGTGCGCGAAGCCTGGGTCGCAGTGACCCGGGAGAGGAAGGAGGCTGCGTGGGCGTGGGTGCTCGGGGTGGGGTCCTGGCCTCCGCCCATTTACTTATAAGTTTTATTTGCTTGTTCCCCACTCCCCTCTCGGACCTGCGGGGGCCCCTACCTTCCCACCACACACCCTCTGACCCCCCAAGAGCCTCTCCCCAAGATCTGTCCTCAGGAATCTAGGCCTGGCAAGTTGGTCCGGACACCTGCTGAGTGACCTACCCACCACCCGCTGTGCGTCCTGGCTGCCTCTGTCACCACGGCTCACCCAGGTGTGGTGAGTTCCTGGTTGGCAAGGCGGTGGCCAAACACCCTGTCCCCCTGTCTTTCTTCTCCGCAGGACCTTGAAGGCACCCATTTATTAATCCAGGGTACAGGGCCACACCTCAGCTTGGATCGTGGCAGGGTGGCCCAGTGGGTCTGTCCCCTTCCTACTCACTGCAGACTCAGGAGTCGCACCTGTGCCCAGTCAGCTGGGCGCAGGATTCTGCTCCTGGGACCGTGAGTTCAAAGCCAGCCTCAGCAACTTAGCGAGGCCCTAAGCAACTCAGCCAGACCCTGTCTCTAAGTAAAATACAAAAAGGGCTGGGGAGGTGGCTCAGGGGTCAAGTGCCCCTGGGTTCAGTCCCTGGTACCAAAAATAAATAAATAAATTTTAAAAATCTGCTTCTGGCTCTTGACCCTTGATCTCCAAAATGTTCCGAAGCCACGTCCTCCCCTGAACCCCAGGTGCCTCTTGACCCTGATTGTCACCTCTCCTGCTCCTCGCCTGCCCAAGGCTCCTTCTCTGAATCCCTTCCTTCCTTCCCTGCTCTGACCAGGCCCTGAACTGGCCCTGAGGACTCAGCTGGAGCCTGGACAAACTAAAGCCCCAGGCCCTTGGCTGGGGTGGAGCTGGGGGGGTACAGCTTGCCTAAGGGAGGCCCTGATTTTACCCCCAGTCCCCCCCAAAAAAAAAACCAAAAACAAAAACAAAAGAAAAACACACACACACAAAACCTCCCAGTCCTAGAGGGGGCCAGGAACAATGATGGGGGTAACAGACAAAAGCCAAAACAAATGAGTAAAATACACCCCTGGCAGAGTGGGCCGCGTGCCAGGCAGAAAGTAAAGGGAGGAGGGAGGGGTGCCGGGCCCCATGTGGCTCTTCCCCAGGCCCCTTGACCCTGTCACTTGCCTCAGGGCCATGGGTATGAGTGAGTCTCTGAGATTGTTGTGATGTCAAATGAACGGCTACTTGGAAAGAGCCGCAGTTGGCACCTGGGGAACTGCGGACACTTG